CAAACTTTTGTTTGTTGGAAGATTTTTTTTTTTTTTTTTTGCGGTACGCGGGCCTCTCACTGTTGCGGCCTCTCCCGTTGCGGAGCACGGGCTCCGGACGCACAGGCTCAGCAGCCATGGCTCACGGGCCTAGCCGCTCCGTGGCATGTGGGGTCTTCCCAGACCGGGCCACGAACCCGTGTCCCCTGCATCAGCAGGCAGACTCTCAACCACTGTGCCACCAGGGAAGCCCTTGTTGGAAGATTTTTAATCACAATTTCAATGTCATTACTTGTGATTGGTATGTTCATATTTTCTATTTCTTCCTGGTTCAGTCTTGGAAGGTTATACCTTTCTAAGAATTTGTCCATTTCTTTCAGGTTTTCCATTTTTCTGGCAGAGTTGCTTTTAGTAGTCTCTTAGGATACTTTGTATTTCTTTGGTGTCTGTTATAACTTCTCCTTTTTCATTTCTAAATTTATTGATTTGAGTCCTCTCCCTCTTTTTCTTGATGAGTCTGGCTAATGGTTTATCAATTTTGTTTATCTTCTCAAAGAACCAGCTTTTAGTTTTATTGATCTTTGCTGTTGTTTTCTTTGTTTCTATTTCATTTATTTCTGCTCTGATCTTTATGATTTCTTTCATTCTGCTAACTTTGGGTTTTGTTTGTTCTTCTTTCTCTAGTTTCTTTAGGTTTAAGGTTAGATTGTTTGAGTTTTTTCTTGTTTCTTGAGGTAGGCTTGTAAAGCTATAAACTTCCCTCTTAGAACTTCTTTTGCTGCATCCCATAGGTGTTGGATCGTCGTGTTTTCATTGTCATTTGTCTCTAGGTATTTTTTGATCTCCTCTTTGATTTCTTCAGTGATCTCTTGGTTATTTAGTAACGTCTTGTTTAGCCTCCATGTGTTTGTGTTTTTTATGTTTTTTTCCCTGTAATTCATTTCTAATCTCATAGCCTTGTGGTCAGAAAAGATGCTTGATATGATTTCAGTTTTCTTAAATTTACTGAGGCTTGATTTGTTACCCAAGATGTGACCTATCCTGGAGAATGTTCCGTGCGCCCTTGAGAAGAAAGTGTAATCTGCTGTTTTGGGATGGAATGTCCTATAAATATCAATTAAATCTATCTGGTCTATTGTGTCATTTAAAGCTTGTGTTTATCTGGTCTATTGTGTCATTTAAAGCTTCTGTTTCCTTATTTATTTTCATTTTGGATGAGATGTCCATTGGTGTAAGTGAGGTGTTAAAGTCCCCCACTATTATTGTGTTACTGTCGATTTCCTCTTTTATAGCTGTTAGCAGTTGCCTTATGTATTGAGGTGCTCCTATGTTGGGTGCATATATATTTATAATTGTTATATCTTCTTCTTGGATTGATCCCTTGATCATTATGTAGTGTCCTTCCTTGTCTCTTGTAACATTCTTTATTTTAAAGTCTATTTTATCTGATATGAGTGTTCCTACTCCAGCTTTCTTTTGATTTCCATTGGCATGGAATATCTTTTTCCATCCCCTCACTTTCAGTCTAGGTCTGAAGTGGGTCTCCTGTAGACAGCAAATATATGGGTCTTGTTTTTCTATCCATTCCGCGAGCCTGTGTCTTTTGGTTGAAGCATTTAATCCATTCAAATTTAAGGTAGTTATTGATATATATGTTCCTATTACCATTTTCTTAACTGTTTTGGTTTGTTTTCATAGGTCCTTTTCTTCTCTTTTGTTTCCGACTTAGACAAGTTCCTTTAGCATTTTTTGTAGATGGTTTGGTGGTGCTGAATCCTGTTAGCTTTCGCTTGTCTGTAAGGCTTTTAATTTCTTCGTCGAATTTGAATGAGATCCTTGCTGGGTAGAGTAATCTTGGTTGTAGGTTCTTCCCTTTCGTCACTTTATCATCCCACTCCCTTCTGGCTTGTAGAGTTTCTGCTGAGAAATCAGCTGTTAACCTTATGGAAGTTCCCTTGTATGTTATTTTTCCTTTTTCCCTTACTGCTTTCAATAATTTTTCTTTGTCTTTAATTTTTGCCAGTTTGATTACTGTGTGTCTCAGTGTGTTTCTGCTTGGATTTATCCTGTTTGGGACTCGGTGCGCTTCCTGGAGTTGGGTGGCTATTTCCTTTACCATGTTAGGGAAGTTTCAACTATAATCTCTTCAAAGATTTTCTCTGGTCCTTTCTCTCTCTCTTCTCCTTCTAGGACCCCTATAATGCGAATGTTGTTGCGTTTGATGTTGTCCCAGAGGTCTCTTAGGCTGTCTTCATTTCTTTTCATTCTTTTTTCTTTATTCTGTTCCGCAGCAGTGAATTCCACCTTTCTGTCTTCCAGGTCACATATCCGTTCTCCTGCCTCATTTATTCTGCTACTGATTCCCTCTAGTGTATTTTTCATTTTAGTTATTGTATTGTTCATCTCTGTTTGTTCTTTAATTCTTCTAGGTCTTTGTTAAACATTTCTTGCATCTTGTCGATGTTTGCCTCCATTCTTTGTCCGAGGCCCTGGATCATCTTCACTGTCATTATTCTGAATTATTTTTCTGGAAGGTTGCCTATCTCCACTTCATATAGTTGTTTTTCTGGGGTTTTATCTTGTTCTTTCATCTGGTACATAGCCCTCTGCCTTTTCATCTTGTCTATCTTTCTGTGAATGTCTAGAACATTTTCATCGCCCCCGGAGAATCCTTGTATGGAACGGCAGTCACTCCCGATTTCCCCCCAAGTCTGCCAGCCCTAGGCAACCACGAATCTACTTTCTTCTGTCTGCAGATTTCCCTGTTTTGGACATTTCATGTAAATGGAATCATACAATCCGTGGACTTTTTTTTTTTGTGCTGTACGTGGGTGTCTCACTGTTGTGGCCTCTCCCGTTGGGGAGCACAGGCTCCAGACGCGCAGGCTTAGTGGCCATGGCTCACGGGCCCAGCCGCTCCGCGGCACGTGGGATCTTCCCAGACCGGGGCACAAACCCGCATCCCCTACATCAGCAGGCGGACTCTCAACCACTGCGCCACCAGGGAAGCCCCTGTGGATTTTTGTGTCCGGCTTCATTCACTTAGTGTAACGCCTTCCAGGTTCGTTCATGTTGTAGCATAGATTGGTACTTTACTCCTTTTCATGGCCAAATAACATTCCATTGTCTGGATAGAGCACATTTCATTTCTCCACTCATCAGCTGAGTAACACAGGTTGCTTCCACTTTTGGGCTATTATGAATGATTTTGCTTTGAACGTTTGTCTACAGGTTTTTGTGTGGCAATATGTTTCCATTTCTTTTGGGTAAATACCTAGGAGGGGAATTGCTGGATCACATGGCAACTCTATATTTAACCTTTTGAGGAGCTGCCAGACTCTCTTGCAGAGTGGCTGCACCACTTGAGACTCCAGCAGCAGTGTATGTGGGTTCCAGTTTCCCCACATCCTCACCAACCCCAGTTGTTATCTGGTTTGGATTATAGCCCTCCTAACAGGTGTGAAGTGCTGTCTCATTGTGGATTAAGTTAACATCTTTCAATGCACCTTAGGAGCACGTTACAGAGGATGTTTGTGGGCCTTCTGTGATGGGAATATCCCAGGCCCAGGGGATGTAGCAGTGAAGCACAGACCTGTTGCTTGCCTTCATGGCACTCCAAGCTTCAGATCCACATACACATCTTAGCTGGGGAAAAGGGTTAATTTCTAACCGAATTCAGTGGTTACCACAATGGCTGTGGGTCATCGACAGATCAGAAGCCCAGGTGAGGGGGAGTTAGGTTGGAACGATTCACATTAGGGGCAATGTGAGGACCATTCAAGCTAGAAGTGTTCTTGGAAGATAGATGTGATCCCTTTATTCTCCTCTTCCCTCTCCCGCTCTCTTGCCCAACTGACTTAATGCAGCTGAAGACATTTGGAATAATGCACTTTGCTATTTGCTAAACCTCTTTCTCAGTGCAGTTGAAAATTAATTCCTTCAGATCTCAGAAGTAGACCGGGATCTTGAAATCTCACACATTCTCAGTGCTCTCCATTACTTCCAAAAATAAATTCTCTACTTGAGTTGATGGAGGTGGGCAGGCAGAATTGGCTGGGCGCCATGTTTGATTTCTTCTCTCCTACTTTGGGGGGAAATATGGCCGTCTAGCTTTTTAAACATTTCTAAGATTTATACTTTGATTCAAAGAATTACTGTTAGTAAGGGTGAGACGTTATTTTTAGTCTCAAAAAGGTCCATTTTTCACTAGGTGAAATGTATTCCTTTGTCTGATTTCTCACCACATAGGGTGTGAATATCTGTGATTGTTAAGGCTAGAGCCATCTCCTGGAGCGTGTTTTTGCATTTTACAGGCACACGTGTAGCCGTGCCCACAGCCTGGCTTGTAGGTGCCCTCACTTTCCCTCTCCCATCACGTGCGGCATCCAGATGGTGGCAAGAAGCTGAGGCCTGGAGAATTGTGGTCTCTGCCCACAGACCAGGTCCTCAGCCTCAAAGACCCCAGACTGTGTGTTTGGTTCAGAAAGTGTTCCTCGCACATCAGATAATTTGAAATATTGGGGCGCTGCCTGAGACTCTGCCTTTCCAGCCCATGCCCAGGTCCAGGGACCACATCTGGGTAGCAGTATTCTAAAATGCAGTTCCCACACTTCCTCATTGGCAGGGCAGCTGCGTGCTGTGGCACGGATGTGGCCTTCATGAAAGCAAAGAGGCTGATCGACCAAACACGAGACCAAACAAACCTTCCCGGGGCTCGAAGGCAGAATTTTCTCTTACACCTTTCATTAACTTGAGGGCCCGGAGCGATTAAAACCAAGCCTCATTCACAGTTTCTATGACTGCTGAGACCTCACCTGGTGGAAGGTGTGTGTACACAGCTCCCAGAGAAGCAGCCGGCGCTGTGTGTGTGAACCGACTGTAGCAATAGCAGCAGCTGATAAAGCCAACCCTGCCTCTTCGCTGACACAGGACCCAGAGAGAAGCTGCCTGGCGGAGGGGCAGGCGCGTCGCCCGGCTCTGCGGTGGCTCACGTGTTCTTTCTTGTTCTGTGTCTTGTTTAGGGTGCCAGCGCTTACATTCTGAATTACCTAATGTACATCCTATGGGCGTTGCTGTTTGCGTTTTTGGCCGTCTCCCTGGTACGAGTATTTGCGCCGTACGCCTGTGGCTCTGGTATACCCGAGGTGAGTGGGGGCTGAATGAATTTCTTTTGTGCCAATAAGAATAGCAAATGTTTACGTGGCACTTCCGTGCTAAGCACGGTTCCAAGCATTGGACAGGACATCTATTCATTCATTTAGTCCTCACAGGGAGCCTATGAGGTAGGTACTGTTATTCTTCATTTGGCGGTTGGGGAAACTGAAGCACAGAGAGGTTAAGTAACTTGCCCAAGGTCACTAAGCCGGTGAGCTGGGAGTCGAATCCAGCTGTTTGGCTTTATGCTGTGTTGCTTCTCAGATGCTTAAATTCTTGTCTTTACAAACCAGGCATAACTCTTAAAGCCTGTGGAGTCAGAGTCCATTAACCACACACACAAACGTGGCACTCTAGTAACTCTTAAGTGCGTCTGTGATGGAACGTGAAAGAGGACAACAGTGGAGGTTTACTGCTCAGAAAGCTTACTGATGAGTAAACTGCCTCGCCACGTTTTGCTCTTCTGGTGACAGGGTAATAGCAATCTTTAAAAAATGAATTCCACGTTCAGTACATGCGCCGTGAATGCACCCTTGTGAGTTTAGAGTTCTTATAAATATTTTTCAGCACGTTCTTGTAACCAGAGTATGAGGGAAGTGACCTCATCGATCAGGAGGAATGCCCAAGACCAAATTTCAGACCAAGGAGATCTGCTGGGTTAGAATAATGATACTTGAGCAAATTCCCAAAAAGCCCAGACAGTAAAACTTTTAGCCAGAAATCATTTTAAAAGCACTTAGATGATCATTCTAATCATTGCTGTTCCATTCTCCTTCAAGTTGGTGCTTCAGCAGCGACCGCAGACGGCGGAGATGCCGAGTTGATAAAGATGTGAGCGGTCATGGCAGTGCACCCACACTCTTTGGCGGTGTCACCAGCACCGCCGCTGGTCTGGGCAGTTCATGCAAAGGGCTGGGGTAATTAAAGGATCATCGAAAGGAAAGTTCAACATTGTCTTGATCCAGGAAAAGATATTAAAAAAAAAGAAAGACTATTTCATGCTGAACTTTGGATGGTTTATATGAACATGTTGCTGCAGGAGCCTGAAAAATAAGCTGCAATACCATCCTGTTTCCTCGGTACAGCCACTGCTGCTCTAAGGCACCATATGCATTCCTAAAAATCACAAAACTGCATCATCAAAACCACAGAGCTTGTGGGGAAGATGGGGCTAGGGGCACAGCACTCAGAAACTTCACTGGTGACACATGAAAAAGACGGGAACCTCATAAAAGCAGTAGCAGAGTTAGACACACGTTAAATGGTTAAGAAATGTATGAATACTCCCCTAGTGCATGCGTGAGCTGGGAGTCGTCTGAGACGTGTGCCTGTGTGCATTTTGTGTATCCCTGCACGGCTCGATTCGCAGCTGCAGTTTTCCACCTTGTGTTTCTCCCAGATGAAATTGTGCAGAAACAGATGCGAAATTGGCATTATGCTCAAGTTCTGCCCTGACGCATGAATCACACTGGAACAAATTTGGGTTTTCCAAACAAGTGTTCAGGCAGAACTGACTGCGTTTTATTGGATATCGAAGACAAAAGAACAGATTACTGTTGGCATCTCGGTTTCTGATCGCAGTGCCCAACAGCAGGCGCTTTTGGACTCCAGCCGCCTATCAAAATAAGGAGATGGCCAGTGGGGAACTGGTGGGAAATTTAAAGTAGCAATAAAAGATGTGGGGGCAATCCCATCTTCCCCTTCCAAGAACCAGAGATGCGTGGCTCAGCTCGTAGACAGACAGGGAACTCTATCTGGGAGGGGCTGGCTGGACCCGGTCTTCATCCAAAGTGGGCATCTTTATTTGTGACAGCTGAACTCAAAAGGAATAAACTACTGAGTTGAGCATTGCTTCCCGTGTGACAAAGTGCAAGGAACACACTGATGTGGATAAAACTCAAAAAAGCGGTGTCAAGTGAAAGAAGTAAGTTGCAGAAGAATATCTAAATAAAGTATGAATCTATTTCTGTAGAGTCCCTAAAACAGCCAAAATGAGACAAGCATACTGTTTAGTGATACACATATGTGCTAAAGCTATAAAGAAAGGCAAGGGAATGATGGGGGGGGAGGTTCCACTGAGAAAGCAAACACAGGGCTTTCAAAGGTACCTGCTCTTCTGTCCTAAACTTGGTACTGGGTACATGGTAGTGGGTACATGAATATGCTTTCAGCCGTATATAATATGTAACAGGTTCCTGTCTCTATTTATAAGAGTTCACAATAATCTTTTCAAGTATCAGGAGCCCAATGGAGATTTTATAATTAAGCTTTGGTTATTATGACTCAGTAGTAGAAAATTTTCCCTGTTATTATAGTAGAGCTTGAAATTCCTAACCTAAGGGTGCAATACCTAGCCCGGTTCTTGGAGGAGAGGGGCAGAGTGAAAAGTAAGTGCACATAAGTAGTTCCTGGATATAAAGAATGTCCTTCCAGTTAAAACCCAACAGACCATGCAAACAGCTCTACTCAGTTTGCGATACAGCGCTATTCTTCACTTCAGGGAATATACTAAATGAGATCTTTAGAAAATACACTTCCCATCGTAGGAGGTGATCGGCAGTGTTGGAACAAACTTTGAATGCAGTGCACTTCCGAACAGTTTAAAAATCACTCATCCGGGCTTCCCTGGTGGCGCAGCGGTTGAGAGTCCGCCTGCCGATGCGGGGGACGCGGGTTCGTGCCCCGGTCCGGGAGGATCCCACGTGCCGCGGAGCGGCTGGGCCCGTGAGCCGTGGCCGCTGGGCCTGTGCGTCCGGAGCCTGTGCTCCGCGACGGGAGAGGCCGCAACAGCGAGAGGCCCGCGTACCGCAAAAAAAAAAAAAAAAAGGGG